GGGGGTGGCGGGCTGCGCTAACCTGCGCGCTTCTCTACACGTTAAAGCACTCTTATGTGCACTTGTGTGCGCTTATATATACGCTTATGTGCGTATGTACACCCTGTGCCTCTTCCCTGGGTTGAGGGGCGCCCCTGCAGCCCTTGGGGGTGGCCGATTGGGCGCCATGGCGCTTCATGTTCCTCGGCCCCCCTCGCTGCGTGTCGGGGGCTCTCTGGATGTTGGGTGCCCACCGGCTCCAGCAAGACATCTAGCCACCCCGCAGCAGCCCTGCGGGGAAGAAGGGCGCGGGGTGAAACCCTGCGGCAGCGTTTGAAGCGAGCACAAACCCACATCTCCGTGGCGGAGGTGGGAAGAGGGGACTTCGCTCGCCTGGCCACCTGCGAGTCACGGCAGCACCCACGTCCTGGCCCACGAGTGCATCCCGAGGAGGCTGCTCTCATCTGAGGCAGCGCTGGGGTTTTCCTGGTGCGAAGCTGATCGCGTGGCAGCCAGGGGCGCAGGTGTGAAGGTGGCTCTGCACTCAGGTTGCTGCCCATGCTCATGACCCTCCTCAGAGGCTGCCGAGTAAATAATCATGCTGAGCCAAAACGAAAAGCAGGTGAAGCTCTGGGCCTGCGATTGCCAGGAGCAGTGTTACAGATTTACTCGCATTATTCACATAGGGAGATCCCTCAGATTTCTGCTTTCTTGAAAAAAATGCTTCAGATTTCTTGGTATCCCCTGAGCTCTCCATCTTCTGAAACACAAGCATTAAAAGCATGGGTTGGTCCACGTAAGGGTGTGATTACGGTGCCTTCAGTGCTCTGGTTACCCCAAAAATATGTAGTTAAACACTACAGTATTTCTAAAGCATATTATGTAAATTGGAGCTCTATAATTTAGGTTATTATACGTGTTTTAATGGTGTTAAAAAACAAGTGACAGGTGCAACATAAAATTATTTTAATCAGTCGTGAGCACACAGGAGGGAATTACTTTATATTTTTTAAGTATTTTTTTCTCCTAACAGGTGAAGGAAGAGTTTTGTTTGGAATCACACACTCATGTAATTTTCTTTTCCAAAGACTGTTTGTTGTTTTAAGCTTTAGGGTGAATTTATGCAAGCACGGTAAAATTTGCCATGCAATCTATAAAACGAAAGCAGGCACTAAGTAGTGCCAGAAACGGCAAATGGTTTAATAAAGGTAAAAATTCATGTGCACCCTAATCAGGAGCTGCCTCCTGCGTGAGCACTCTCACTGGTTTCAGGTAAGCTCACTACACAAGGAAGAGTCTGGGCCATCGGGCCTTATGTTTTAAACATGCAAAAAGGTGATTCTCCTTGCTCTCAAATCCTAAGATCTCAATTAAGATATCTCAGCCTTAGGTAGCTATTTTAATCATTTCTTTGTTAAAAGGCATTTGATGATCAGAGATGCTTTGGTTCTGGAATTGCGTCGTTGCCACGTAATCAGGAAAGCAAACAGGTTTCAGTGTAATGGCAGCTTAATCTGTTTTTTTAGGGTCTCCTACCACTACCAAAAATGGATCTTGTCTTTTGACAAGCAAAGAATAATGTGAATCACAGAGGCATATAATCCAAAGAATTAGGTTTGGCATTGTAGTGGTCTGTAATGATCTTTAAAATTTCACGTTTAAAAGTGGATTTCAAGCCAAATGTGAATTTCTCTTATAAAACACATACAGGGGGAGGTGGGCAGTGTCCCAGTCATTGCCATTCAGTAATGATCTTGGAATTTACTTTATGAAAGATTAGTCTCCACAGGTGAAAGAAAACTACTCTATAAAACATTATTTTAATGAGGCTTTTATTTTAGTTTAAAGAAAAATGCTTGGTTTTTCTATTCTATTCAGACTATTCCAATGATCTCTATTCCTACTCTACTGCAGGGTGAATTGCTGACTTGCTCTCACTTTACCAAGCAGAGCCTACTTGAAGCAACACTGATACCTTGATTTGTAATTCTTTCAACAGTTGCAGCTTATTTATCGGGTCTTCAGACATAAAACTATTGCCAGTCAAAGCAGATTAGGACAGGTCCAATTCCAGCGCGCTCTGTAACAAAAGGCTCTTTCAGAAATACACACACCCGTCTGTTGCACAAGACGAGTTGGCTCCTGGCACCTCTGCACTCTCCAAGTGCTTCCATGCAAGTTACAGGCAAATTGTTACTACATTTGCACCTTTAAATTATTAATGTGGCAGGCCTTGAACATAGTGGGGAGGGTACAAATACTGCGTTACACCTGCGGCGACCATAGACCTCGCAGATGGATTGAGCATCAAGAAGTTCCTCCTGGGCAGAGTAGCAAGGAAAAGTGGCCGTCAGCTGCTTTCCTCACGGGAAACCTGATGGAAGCAGCAGCGGCAATGAGCAGCCAAAGGAAATGGATGGGTGAGGAAGGAGCTGCAGGGACACGGCGACCAGGCGGCTCCAGCCTCGCGTGGCTGTGCCGTAATGCTCCATAGACCGTCGGCGTGCAGAGCCACAGACGGCGAGCTCACAGCAGCAGGATGCCGCAGGTCCCCGCTGCTGGCATCGCGGCTCCTCCTTGCACCACGGCCACGTACAGCAGTGTATCAATAATGCCAACTAGCGGCCGGCGTTAGCAAGGTTTTCCCACATACCTTTCTTAAACACATCCACGAGCAGCAAGATGTGCTTCTCCTGGCACCTCAGAGAGGTTGTGGAGTCTCCAACCCCGGAGATCTTCCAACCCCGTGTGGCTGCCACCCTGTGCCACGTGCTATGGATGTCCCTGCTTGAGCAGGGCCGTTGGACTAGGTGGTTTCTAGAGGTCCCTTCCAACCTCAACCATTCCGGGATTCTGTAATTCAGGATTTCTAGAAGCAAGGTTTGTATTTAGTTGCTCTGTTTGAAACCTGAGTACACTTTGCTCCAGGACTGCTTCCCAAACAGTGCAAAACTGTGCTGGAGTTGTCTCCCTCCTCTGCACTATTACCTCCAAATGGGTATCCTACCTGGTCTCCCCCTTGAGCCTCTCTCTTGGGTCTCTCCCAAGCCCCACTTCAGCTGAAGTGGCAGAGCCTCAAACTACTAGTAACAAGGCTTTGGTTTTGCCATGCATTCCTCCTTGTATAACCTTTCTGGTATTTCTTAAACTGGAAATGAAAATATAGCTCACAAGCCAGTTGCCTCACGCAGGTGAATATTTGCCGCATGGGTGTCACACGTTCCTTGCTCCCAAGCAGGTGTAATTAGCCTCCCTCTGCAGACTTTGTGTCGAGGCCGCTGCCACACCTGGGCCTGTTGGGAGCATTTCCGCACCGCGCGCAGATTCCACAGAGTCCAGCCTAACAGTGGATTCGCTTTTAAAATAGCATTGGGCCAGCCGATGAAAGGGTGAAAGGGTGGAAGTGTTTCACTTTTAGAGGCTGTTTAGGACCAATAGGTGGATTTGCTTTAGCCATTAAGGAGAGCACAGTCAGTGCACTGGAAGTGGTCAGTGACATATTGTTGCTCTCAAACACAGTGCAGAGGAGCCTTCCCTCTTTGCTATACTTGTATTGCTGCATTTTTTTCCTAGTTGTTGGTCTCCAAGACCGTCATTCTAGGATTTACCTAAACTTCAAAAGCCAGCATGTGTAAT